ATGAAGGCTTCATACTACCAAGTCTTAGTGAAGTTGTGTAACGAGTTCCACATTTAAGAATCTCTGAAGACATGGTAGTCCATTCCGAAGAGATTTACCCAGGTGTTTTTTGCGGAAATACCATTATTTCTGCAATGAAACCATATGTCAAATTCGTAAATACCAATAGCGAACCAATATACATATCTTATACTAAATTTAAACCAACTTTAAGCTACCTAAATGAATATTCTATATTAAATATGCGTAAGGATAGGAGTAATACTAATAGTAATAGTAACGCATCTAGCAGAAGTGAACGAATATTCCAAGACATAAAAGCTGAACAAATCCCACTGTACGCCAGGGATAAGTCAATTTCAAGACATTTTCTGCCTTCCTGAGGAGGAAGTTACTCAAAATAATTTTTATTCGCAAAATATTGTCCTTAACGATGATGTTCCAGTTTACATCCCAAACTATAAAACTATTCATTCGCAGTATGAAGAGATTGATAAACAGGTAAATGCCATGCTGGAAAGCAACATTATCGAGTATTAAGTATTACCATCTGCTATTATGCATTACCACCAAATCCCCTCTTCGGATTATAGCTTTAAAAAAACACGTCTATCACCTTTCACGATCCAAGACTAAGAGACCGATTCGTACTCGATTTTATTTCAATCAACTCGTTTGCTATAAAACGATAACTCTCATCTCTCTCTTCATACATGTTCTCTTACTCGAACTGTCACGGTGGATTCCGACATTTTTATCGAACACAACAATCCTTCCTCCTTTAGTCTTGACAATAATATTCATAATCTTTCTTACATAGAAGCAAAATGAAAATTCTATACTTATTACATTCGAACTCATTACACCACATTATTTCCTGTCCATATTTAAGTTAAATTCTGAACTCAGTTTTTCTGATAACATTTAACTAATAACATTTAATTAATTTATAAATCATTAAGCAAAAAACCTGATAAGTTGTAATTTTGCTAGCGAAGCATATTTGATTGTATCACTTTTCTCTTGTTTTTTTTTTTTTTTTTTTTTTTTTTTTTTTTTTTTTTTTTTTTTTTTTCGAACGAATCTCAGGACTCATACGGCTATTGTAATTTTTGCTGGAATTTCCGTTGATCTTCTGCTGCTTGAACATACTATGAGGAAAAAGTGCTACAATACTTCAAACCGAACGGAATCGTTGACGAAGATGTGTTAAAAACACAGAGATGGACCCAGCGACGTATTGCTGATGAGACCAAGGTCATGCACATCCGAAGAACGATTTTCGATGAAGACCTTAAGATTAGTGTTCCCCGAGGATTGGAACCTATCTATTTCCTTCGAAAAGGAATTAAGGCTAACAAAACATTACCGTGGCCGTACATTAACGTGGTACGAAAGGAAGCTCCTATTATGACTCGGAGCACCACTGAATCGCCACCCTGCGATATTGATATCGTAGATGAATTTGTAAATTCCGTTAGGGATGGAAAGTCTATTTTAAATGGTATATCGACACCAGCCTTCAAGACGCTGGATATTACCATAAGTGAAGACATTACGAAAACTACCCTCACTACTTTCATCTCAACGTATCCTGAATGTGCAAACCCAGCTCCAGGTACGAAACGGTACCCAGCTGTTATGGAACCAGCCATTTGTGCTGACGATCGTTATGCTGTTGGTAAGAAAGCCAACTGCGCAGTAACCCGGATCAGGGCCAGTGATACTGGATGTAGGGAGCCAACCCTCGTCGAATCTGTCACGATACCGGTTGCCATCGGACTGCCGAAATACTGCCACTTAGGCTGTGGATGCTTTAATTGCCACGCAAATAAGCATACCAACGATGGAAAGAAGCTCAGGAGTTTCCCATTCTCCGAAGAGCAACGGAAGGAGTATTCCAGGAAGCAGGAGTGGAATGTCGTGCTATTCGCTCCAAACGCATCTGGAAAGACAACCGCAAAGATAGCTCTGCGTGAGCTCGGATTGTCGTGCTTTGAACTAGACGACCTGTTTGATTGGTTTTGCCACGCTCCATATTTACGGCAATCAATAATGGTCACATCAGACCCAAACCATCTCAAGTACGCACGGAACCCAATCGCCATTATTCCGACTGAAGGCGAGCGTCTCCGGCGTTTTAAGTTCAGGGAAGCACTCAGACCGAATGTACGATGGAGAGATACTCTTAATTTGCCCTCCAATACAAGAGTTATCCAATCGAATAAGATGCTAACTGACCTCATTCAAGTAAGCATTTTCGGTTAAAGTTACATTCGAAGAAGCGCGTCGTTTTGGATATCCAACGATAATGGTAAATGTGTAATGTAGGAATTCCACCCCATTTAGAGAAATGGTTTCTTTTTTCTGAAGACCTAGAAGTCCCTAGGCAACGTAGGTGAAAAAAAAAAAAAAAAAAAACACGTCTATCACCTTTCACGATCCAAGACTAAGAGACCGATTCGTACTCGATTTTATTTCAATCAACTCGTTTGCTATAAAACGATAACTCTCATCTCTCTCTTCATACATGTTCTCTTACTCGAACTGTCACGGTGGATTCCGACATTTTTATCGAACACAACATCGAGCAATCAATTTCATCATACAACTCCCCTATTTTGCTAGTGCCCAAAAAATCTAGCAATGGCGAAAAAAAATGGCGTTTAGTTGTTGACTTTCGGCAGCTAAACAAGAAAATCCTTGCAGATAAATTCCCACTCCCGAGAATTGATGATATTTTGGATCAACTCGGAAGGGCAAAATCTTTCACGACTTTAGACCTCATGTCCGGATTTCACCAAATCCCTCTTGACAATGATTCTAGAAAATTTACGGCTTTCTCAACAAGAAACGGCCACTACCAATTTACCAATTTGTTTTACTCTGAACCATTTGGTGGATTATTTAAACTTTTGGTTAAAATTTGACAGATAGAAAGTTATCGATTAACCCTGCTATCCGAGCGTGGTTACTACAAGAAGTTAAATTTTGACAACCTTGGCTAAGTTCTTCTCGAAAACCGGTCGATCGATAGCACAGGGATTTTCAAACACAGAAAATAACTTTCAAAATGTCACTTTTAACCACTAGTTAAATTTAACGCGGCAAATGGTTCACAGTCTTAATAACTGAAGCCTTACAGTAAAAGTATGGACGACTGTCACCACAAAACTGAAAAAAAAAGCTGTTCCAATCGAGCAAAGCGGTGCATTTTGACGGTTCGATTGGAACAACTTTTGACAGACGTCCATACTTTTACTGCAGGGCTTTATTAATAACCACTATCATAACACGACACCACACCGGCAGTTGCCAAACAGGTTGGGAAATAGAAACTTACCCTTTCGGTGAACAGCGGGTGTGCTGATTTGGCAACCCGATCCAACGTTGCTATTCGAAGAAACGAAACAAATCAAAGTGAAACGTCAAAAGGTTCCTACGAATCTCGAAGCTCGTCTAGCGATAGCGGTTTTCAAGTGTTCTGAATTTAATTTGGCAGAAGTGAAACTAGTGCAAAAATGAGTTACTCAACGACGAAACATCATGCTACCTAGGTTAAGTCACGTTGTAAACATTCTATAAAAAGTAACGAGAAAATATACGAAGAGAGCATTCCATAAGTTTGTCTATGACTAGATGGACACGCTGTCTGTCTCCAAGATATCACCGACCACACCGTGAAGTTTAAGTACAGTTAAGTACAGTTAACCATCATTAAGAGGTTCAGTTACAATTTTCGGGATCCATACACTATAAAATTACTATACACTACATATGTAAGACCTATTCTGGAATACTGCCACATAGTATGGAGATCATACACTGTCATACACGAAGAACGCATTGAATCTGTCCAAAAGCAATTTGGACTGCATTTCCTCTACCATCCTATGAAGCACGCTGCATGCTCATCAATCTACAAACACTAAAAGAACGGCGTGAATTTGCAATGCTTTTCTTAATGAGAATGCAGAACGTTCGGAGGTGCACTGTAGCTTAATTGAATAGTAATAAAGTCAGTCTAAGTTGAGTAGCGTAGCGGTTAAGTTGAATTGCTTTTTTTCAACAGGATCCCTGGTCGGTTGACCTTTAACTCGCGCGTAATCGAATGATATCAAAGAAACAATACAACTGTTTAACTGTAAATCATTAGAATTTCATTCTATTACTATCTAGGAAAACCTTAAGTATTTGTCTCAAAAACTTGAAAAGACCCTCGAAACAATGTCATTAGCAAAGATAGAAATATTACGTGTCATAATTTTAAGTAACAACGAAATTAATATGTTTATTGAAGATTTAGACAGAGAAAAGGTCCTCGTGTCAACCACAGCTGAAGCTATCTCCTATGCAACAACATCGAAAGTCTCCAACCAGAAGGAAAGTTACCAAAGCTCAATGTATAGGAAGGTTCACATCCATCCGCTTATACATAATACCCAACAAATACACCTAGCAGACAGAAACTACATCATCATGACGCCTATGCTGAACGGAATTATGCCAAATGGGGTGCTCGCAATGCACTAGTTGAGGCGAAGACGAAGATATCGATTTTTCCGCACCATATTTTGAATATATGCTTTGAATGATTTCCTGCCAGGACAAACATGCACCGAATAAGCATAACATTAACAATTAAAACTCTGCTCCTTACGTAGTTTCGTTTTAAAAAGATCCCTTGTACAATTCTGCAGGGGCTGATTTCTTCAAATTCTTTAAGCAATTCAATGTAATCTCATGATATGCAGAACAATGGCAATGAAATTATGAAACGTCACTCCTACTACGAGTGTAGGTAAGTTGTGAGTAATGAGGTGCATGGGAACATTAAATATGAGTGAATGACACGATTGGATTTTTCAACTGTCTATATCTTTCAAATAAAGACTTCAGTCATCCGTTTTCGGTTTCACTTCCTCCTTGAATTCAAATCTCTTCGCTCTAGTGCCGTATTTATTATTCCACACAGAAGAAAAATGACCTAACGAAATCACTTATCACTTAGCCAAAGAACAAATGCACTTTATTTTAGTTCAGACGTCAAATTTCTAATATACGAATTAAAACATTTAAAAAAAAACGGCTAATCTCACTCAATTGATTGACAACGAAAATCACTAAATCAATCCAAACGATGGTGAATCGTAACTTTGCCAAATAAAATAGAACTATCTCGGTCTATAACATTTCTTTAAATTCTATCACGGTGTGCGACATCCTCCATAGGAACCTCAATTCCTACTCAGTAGCTCTCTACATTACAACAAACACACACACGCGCTTCCATCTCAATAAATACTCCCGCTCTACTGGCGTTCGTCAATTCTCATTCATTCACACCGTGCGCACCCAATTGTGTTGCTACCAAAAGAAGTTACTCCACCGTTTGTTACCTTCGTCTCCAGCTTCGCCTGCTCGGCCTCGTCCCGTAAACCTCCCGAAAAGACTTCCCGGTCCATATCAAGAGGCTTGATTGGAAGGCAGCTTGACAGTAGAAGCGAACCTCGGTAAACTCAAACCAAACTTGGTCTCAATTCCGTTCAACATCGGAAGTGCCGCCTGGTAACCACCGATATGATCTGGATTCACCTTCGACAGCTCCTGCTTGGCCTTGGCCACATCCGAACCCGCCGGTCTCGAACCGCCAAAGTCTACGTACAGCATACGCTGTAGAAGTTCATATGTAACTAACGTAACACCAAACTGAGGTGATGATCGGAAGACTCGGGCTAGTAAGAATAAAAGCAATAGAACAAAAAATCTCGTCACACCGAATATGCAAATTACTTACCAACTGTTCCCTTCCAAAAGGCACGTGGTCCCTCTTCGGCCATAATCTTTCGGGTTGCATCCAGCACCCCATTGTAGGTGGTCTGCCCCGATCGGGCAACCACTTGAAGTCTCGTTTTGATCACATCGGCTGGTGTAACCAGCGAGGCAGCCGGAATACCGGCTATGGCACCGGCCGCCAGCAGTGTCAGCGGATGATTGTAACCCTGTTCATCGGCGAAGGCAGCTTTCGTGTGAGCATACATCGGGAAATAAATGGCAGAGAATGGCACATCACGTAGCAGGCATGCACGGGCCCCCTTGTACAGACCGAACAGTCCCAACTCACGAACCACGGTCCAGGCGCGTACCTTCGCACCACCCGCAATTTCACCAGCCACCTGAAGGCGGATCTTTACAATCTCCAGCGGGTTAGTGAAGATGACCTGAGAGCCACCGGCCTGCAAATAACAAACGGTACTGATATAGTCAGGGTTGGTTGGAGACAATAAACCTTCAAATACTCACACAAGCACCGGCGAGTACTTCTCCCCAACGTGGAATTTGGCCCTGTTTGTCGGTAAGCTTATCGCGCATGAAATCGTTCACGGTCAGCTTGATGGCCTTCTCCGGTGCCACACCCATGAGCTGTGGCACCAGACCTCGGTAGAGACCGAGGAAACCCTCATGGCGGATGACCTGCGGAAAGTATGAACATTTAATATCTTGAACTAGAAGGAACAAACGTCAGGTAAGTGCAATACATACCTTTTTGCAACAATCCCATGAGTTCCGGTATGCCACCTCACCGATGAACGATCCAGTTCGCTGATTCTGCATACGAGTCTTAACCAAATCGATCGGGTAGACGGCAGTAGCACCAACGGCTGTGGAATGGGAACGAATTGCATAAATTGTGTGATGCGGATAAACTACTTTTATAACAGCAACGCATTGTTATTTCTGCGCCCAGTAAAAAAAATAGGTTTTCGGAGCTGGTTACTCATGAGTTACACCATGAGATACCACCGTGACAGGCTTGCAGATAACACTAGATCTCGACATTTCATGCATTTTTAAGTCATATGGCATAGAAAATCGATTTCCGAAAATTCAAAAAGTCCCACTTCTAAGGCAGAGATGAACCAGCATATGACTGAAAGTCTCTTTAAAAAAGAAAGAAGAAGATGTTTCCTAAGAATTCACTTGCAGTTCTCTTAAAAAAAATTTGTTTTACTAGATTTCTCCTCAAAATTGGCAAGTCAGAACTCTCTTGGAATTCCTTTGATGTCCTCCTGGTATCATTCTCCGAAAATTCCTATGGATCATTTTTCTCCTAGAACCTTCTTGCTCAGAATTCCCTTGGATTTCTTTTTAAAATTTCCTTGAAGTTTTGCTCAGAATTATCGGGAAAAAATCCCCAGGACTCTCTTCTTCTAAAAATTCCTTAGGAATTAACCTCAGTAATTCGTATGAAATTTCGTAAAAGTTTCTTTTGGGTCCAATTCATTTCAATGGAATTTTACTAAGAACTACCATTTTATTCTCCTTAGGTTTCACATAGAGTCTGGAGTTCCTCAGAACTACCATGAAGGCAGCTTTCACTTGATGTGGCCAAAAAGCGCGCAACCCAGACAACCAGAATGCACGTATATTCAAAGTTGTTTTCGTGATATACAAACATATATACAAACAAACAAGTCGTATAGAATGCAAATAAATGGCTTATACGTACAAAAGTGGAGGCCATATACGTGCATATTTTTGTTTAATTTTAAACGAGTTGATTTAACATCATATGCAATTTGATCTGTAATAACAAATCCATTTTGAAAAGTCTTACGATGTAATCCGATTAAATTTGTGATACTGTACGACGGAAAAATGAGTCATCGCATATAAGTCAGAAATTTGCATTCTATACGATTTAACTTAAACATAATGCGAGGTATGCCATTCTAATATGCGATTTTGACTTAAACTGTAGCAATTTACGATACTGTCTGTACATTGTTATACGACTTCTGGTTGTCTGGGAAGGCTCTTGTCAAGAAGTAGGTCAAAAGTTTTACCTACATCGCAACTGGACGTGGGGATGTGCCGGGAAGATTCTAGTTCGTGTTTTCCGACAAATTCGCGAAGAAGGCCATGATTTGGCAAGCGATTTGCAGTTGTGGCCTGAAAACGGAACCATTCGTCACATCCTCGACGATGACATCCCAAGTTTACATCGAAGAATGCTTGAATAAAACGTGTATTGCCGTTCATCCGCAAGCATTGGAGGAAAGTCATTTTTTTTTTGCTCGGTTCGGCCAGCTGTCACTACTCCAAGGTGGTTCTGGAGTGGTATGTTACCAACAAGCTCAATTTTGTCCCAAGCTAATGAATCCTTCGAATTGCCCGGAATTTCAACCAATCGAAAAATACTAGGCAATTTCAAAGCAGCGACTTCGACGAAACGGCGAGGCAGTCAAGGACATCCAGCAAATGCGGGCAAAATGGAAGAAATGCACTGTTTCCGTGTCCGTTTCCACTGTGCGGGCGCTGATGGGCTCCATCAAGAGGAAGGTTCAAGATTTCGTTCGAACTGGAGAAATGTAAACATCTAATGCTGTAACTTTGAAGTTTTAATAAAAGTACTGTAAAGCAACCATTAATGGACTTTTTAAACTTATTGAATCACGGTCTTTTTGTGCGTACCAATTTACTTTTAGTCAGCATTTAATCTGCCAAAACTGTAGTTCAAACATTGCATGGTGATCGCAGTATCTACCGCATTAGCGATATAATGATTCTCACTGGAATCAATTAAAAAATTTGTCAAGATCTTGTACTTGACAAATTTTTCCGAAACTCTGGTAAATTGATATGCTTTTAGATCTCGACATAAATTTTAATACCTCGTTACTAAAAAAAACCTCGCGTAACATTTGACAAGGGCCTATCAACGTTTGCTCTTGGTTTGCGTGGGCGTACTTCAGTTTGCGCGAAAAGGGCATAACAAGTTTGTTTACAAAAGTGGATTCCGAGCTAGAAAAAAATTTCATGATTATAATAGCGGTAAGCTCGATCGAGGATAATACGCGATTTCACGTCAATCTATCCAGCGGGACAAACTTAACGAATTTTAAAGTTGATACGTGTTTTGGAATGTACCAATAGCGTACCATAGCGTACCTTCAAGGATTTTGAACGTACCTCAAAGCTTCCCGAAAAACCCGTGTCCCGCTGGATAGACATACGATTTCAGTTATGAGTCGATCGACTAGATTTCTACGGAAATGTGACGTATCAAATGCGTTCTTAACGAATCTGTAATTCATTTTAAACGTACCTCTTATTTTCACTTAAATGCTTATACTAAACTTTTTAAATCGGTTTATATATAAATTCTGGACACGGAATGGGATTCGTCGGAAAATTTAAGTCCGATTTCATATAAAAAACATTATACTTAAGTGAATTCTAGACAATTTAAGGACCAAAACAGTTTTTTTTTATTTGCATCCCTTAAAAATATACTAATTTCGAACAAAACCGTAAATTTCATGAATAACACTAGTTTACAAAACAACATAAAAAGTGTGAACTTTAGTGGTTGACCAACGTTTCTAATGCAACCTTATTAAGACCTTTGAAATCGTGAAGGTCTTTGGAATAATGTTTGAGCAAACTGGAATTATGAAAGAATAATTTCAATTGTTGAACAGTTCTAGAGTTTACAATCAAGGAAAAATATGCAGAGGGTTTTCTTAAGATCTTTGGGATCCTGAAGGTCTTTGGGACAATTTCTGAGCATCCTGCTATCATGAAAGAATATCCGAGAGACATGATTTTAATTGATGAACAGTTCAAGATCTTCATAATAATACCTGGTGATTCTGAAGTCTTGGAAAATCTTCAGAGGGCTTCCTTAAGACCTTTGAAATCCTGAAGGTTTTTTGAATAATTTCTGTGCAACCTGGTATCATGAAATAATTTTTGAGAGAATAAGCTTTTTTTATGAAAAAGCATATTTTTACCTAAATAAGCTCTTATTCTGTTTTCAATGTTTGTTGGGTGATCATCCTGAAGCCTTGGAAAGATATATAGATACTCTTATTAAGATCTTTGGAATAATTCTGGTATCTTGACAGAATATTTGAGACATATGAATTGAATTGTGGCACAGGCATTTCACACAGGCAGAGGTTCATGTTAAGACCTTTGAAGTTCTAAATGACTTTGGAAACAATTTGAGCAACCTGGTAACATGACAGAATATTTGAGAGGTGTGATTTGAATTGTTGGACAGTTCAAGATCTTCAGAATAATGCCTAATCATCCTTACATCTCAGATGCATATAAAAACCTTTGAAATTCTGAAAAGCAATTTCGCCTTTTTGAAATGTTGGCATCGATTTTGTAGCTTATGCATACGTATGTGTGTTAGCGGTGATAGAAGATTTTTGTTTGGCTGGGTACTTTTCAAAAATCTGTGATTTTCTCTAATTCGCTGAAATCGGCGTATTAAAGTGAAATGCCAGATTAAATTGAGGATAATACCAGTGGAAACTAACGATTTTAAATTGGCTCACTACTTGACTAGCCTATTGGTCCCAAGCAAATCGATTAACGTACCCCATTCTAGTTGAAATTCTAATACTACACTATGTTTGTTTTGATTCGCTATGAAAGTTTAAAAGATAAAATGAGGGGTTCGTGGATTTACCTATGTTTCGATGGGACCGAAGATAGTTCCAGAGCTGAGCCAAAAATTTGAGCACGTTTCTTCGGGACCTTCTGGTCTAAGAGTTACCTCTATGATATTACTGTATGGTGCTTAGCAAAATCGAGGATAAGATAAGAGAGTAAGGTGGGGCAAGATGAGCCACGGCCAAGATGGGTCATCTACTCAATTTATTTATGTTTATGATTGTTAACATCAACAGGCTCAATGTAGCCCCAATGCTGGTTTGACCGGTTGATATTTTCAAAAATATAAATTAATAAATTACCCATCTTAAGTTACCTACACAACTAAAATTCACACTTACCTCCTGCAACGGAGCCCAGAGCGAATCGATACGTGCTTTCCAGCATCTGGATGAAGATGGACCGATCGGCTGGGGACTCAACGGCTTTGATCTCCGTCAGCCGGGTTGTGATATGCTTGATGTAGTGCTCCGGTGCAATATTGCTGAGATCGCCATACACTAGTCGCCTATAGTCGGCATCAACGGCGGCACGTCATGGTTGTTTTGTCACACACAGTTCAAATTGAAGCAAAATAATCGCCAATTGGGGTTCATAATAATGTCAGAAGGAGAAGGAAAAATAAAACGAAACGAAACATAATTGAAAGATTAGAACAAAATAATAAGAAAGAAAGAGGATATTTGGGAAATTCAACAGTACATGTTAAATGAAACAAGCAATCATCAAGAAGCGAAACAGGGAAGAAGAGAAAGAAAAAGAAACCAAATGAAACATGATGTGAAAAATGTTGCAGGAAACGAGATTTCGTTGCTTGATTTCGGTATAACATTTTTCACAAAAGTCAAGAAATGCTACAAAACGCATCCAATCATGTGTGTGTGTGCTACTATGATTTTGGTCCTCTCATGGAGATGAACGGAACTTAAAACGAAAAACTTACGAACAGCGTCACTCACAATTCGTAACAGTCTCTATTTTAAGTTTATGCTTTCTAATTTGAAGGAAGGAATTTAGCTATCTGAAAATCAGTTCTGTCTCAAAAGCTCTGAAAAATGAATGAGTATTTTTGTTTTCGATTGGCCTTTCTTGGGAAAATACAGTAGGGCGCTTTTTTGGTGCAAAGATAACTTGCCTATTCTTCTCTATTACTTTTTTACGCTTCCACCAAACACTTATTGCCGTTCATTATTAGGAAATAGTTATGCCGAATGCAGGCAGCGGCATGGCAGCGTTTGAAGAGAAGAGAAACAATGAAGTATTATCATTTTATGGTCTTCGCTTTGCTTAACTTACATAGAGATCGTTGTGTTTGATTGATAATTTACATTTAAACAATGATGATATATGATACTCAAATGAAGCCACTGCTATTTGGAATCATTTGTGTGAATCATGCGTTTGGAAGTTCGGAAGAGAAGGCTTACCCCGTCTGATGAATTGCTCCGGTTAGCTGGAAAAGGATGTCGATTTCCAGTGGAGTGATTTGGCTCATAGTTTGTGCAGACTGCAGCAGTTCATCTTTGGTAATGGGTTCCGTTCGATTTCCTCCGGTGGCGTTAAGGTAGATCCGTTTGATGAGCTCCATGTTATTCAGCAGAGAATTAAATGCCATAAAGTACGGAAAGCTGACTTTGTGTCCTTCTGTGACCTGGAATTCGGAGTTCCCGGTAGTTCTAATCGTTCTAAGATTACATCCCAATAGACCTACTCACCGCTACTAGATTATCTTTAACCTCCGACGTGAGTAGGTGTTTCTTCACGTTCACCATAATGTCCTGAAAATCGAGTGCCGAGATAAACCCAGACCCAGAGGTGTCTTTCATTCGAAACGCTTCCAGTGCGCACTCCTCATGAAAGTCATGAAGAAACTGAGAAAACTCAGCATAGTTGATAGTTCGCTGCCGGTCCTTGCCAAAGTAGAGCTGTATGAATGGACCGTCCAGTTTGAACGGGATTTTAGCGTGCAGATCTGTCTTTTTGAAAACATCGACAAACTCACTGTACGTCACCGAACCATTACCATTTCGATCGAACAGCTGGAAAGCGGTTTTGTACAGAGCGTCCGGTGTGCATAGCAGACCTTCAAACGCTTGGAATTCAGCAAACGAGATCAGTCCATCCTTGCTGGTGTCCGCGATACCGGCCAACAGCGTAATCGAATCCTACAATACACGTGAAACCAATCGGAATAAAAACATTCAAATCACGCCAGTCATGGACGATATCTTTCATCAAGGTCAACTGAAAGTCAATCTACCAACTTAAATCTAATTGTTCTAATCTCACCTCATTGTATGATTGTCCTAGGAAACCCCGAACGAAATCCTCGCTGGTCATTAACAGCTCACCGTTGACTTCTTGTGTGGCATATTTGTTGAAGATTTCACGCAGCTTCTCCGTGGAGCCACGCTTCAAGTGCATAGGACCCTAGAAAAGATGAGAAACAAAACAAAGTTGTCAAATATGCACAAAAACTGTCAACATTTAATCACAACCGTTCTCATTGCAAGCGGCATATTCGTCTTCGTTTCTATCAGACCTCACTAATGCTACTACCGCTTTACGGCAAACGTGTGAGCATGTGAGTAGTAGAAATCAGTCAACGGACTAAATTAAACTTCGAGTAATTTTCCAAAAAAAAACCGATAAGAAACCCCGAACGAAGATTGGCTTAGCCAACGACGAACGACGACGATGCGACGGTCCGGGTGAACAAGCGGTGGCTGAATGCGTGGCATCCTGATGTACGATAAGGGACTGGGTCGGCTATATAGATGCAACATTAGACGCATACTATCGATTTCATTCGATTCGCGAAAAAGGGTTGTATCTTTGGGAAGCGGAATATTTTAATTTGAGATTCTCGCAAAATGATTAGTTGCCTTTTAGGATAAATGGCTCCAATGTTGGCCTATGGAATTGATACAAATCTCATGTTTTCCATTTTTGTTAGGGAAATGTGTCATTTGGATAGTGCAAAGGGCTAAATTGTGCAGTGCTTCGATTGTACGTAATATAAGGGACACTTATGCCGACATCACGGACATTCACCACACAAAAAAAGTAGATTACAGTTATTTTTATACAGCAGAGTCCTCAACTTCAACTGCAGCACGTAGAAAAATGCTTTGACTTACCCATACTGTCCAGTATGTATTATAAAGTTATGACCCCATGGTTCTCTGATGCGTTTGTAGGAAGAACTGAACTATGTATTACCTCTATCAGTGTCATAGCTAGAATGATGTTTATTAATCGGAATCGAGCTTCAATTTACCACGACACACATTTTCAATGGGATGGTGTAAAAATGCCTGCGTTGCTGGATCGCTGTTGGATCGGATTACATTTTATTGCTACACTGTTTATCGTCGGAATCGTTGTTTATGTCATTGGTGACGAAGAGTGTGAAACTAATTTGCTATGCTGACTGCAAGATATTGCATGGTTGGTATTCGTAATAGCCCGGTTTGCTCCTGAATCGATATGCTGATACATGCTGAAATCTGTTTACATTGTGCTAACCACTTTTAAGTGAAGTTTTAGTGCACTAGCACCAGCACGTCAGCACCAATGTAAACCGGGCTAATGGCCAGTTTACACTAGTGCTAGTTCATAATGCTGATTAACCAAAATTGGTGTAGTGTACTCCCATCAAGTTTGTGCCAGAATCAGAAATTGATGCGCCAAAGTGTAAACACCCCAATAATGCCCGGTTTACACTTGTGCTGATTCACTAGTAAACACTGTACTCGAAAAAAGTGAGACACACAAAAAGGGTCGCCAAAAATTCATTTTAAGTCGGATTTACTCCAAACTTTCAGGGAATAAACTTCAACATTATGGTTAGGTCTCTATTTCATTGCTTTATTGGATCTTCGCTTCATAACCGAATGCCCGCACCTCGCCCTTGACACCAGTGCTGAAATTTGTCTTAACACCAGTGCAGACTTTCACGTGATATTGACAAAATTGTTCGTCGCATGGTCCTCAAAAAAAAACCTACGTTCAGGATTAAAAACAATAAATTGAGCTTTGGAAAATTAGCAAGGTTTTTTAATCTAGACAACCACCAGGACTTTGAAGTATGTTCGTGATATTTTTGAGGATAATTAATTAGATTTTTAAATAGAGTTTTATAGTACAAATTAGTTTTGTTTTCCATTTTTGTTAGGGAAATGTGTCATTTGGATAGTGCAAAGGGCTAAATTGTGCAGTGCTTCGATTGTACGTAATATAAGGGACACTTATGCCGACATCACGGACATTCACCACACAAAAAAGTAGATTACAGTTATTTTTATACAGCAGAGTCCTCAACTTCAACTGCAGCACGTAGAAAAATGCTTTGACTTACCCATACTGTCCAGTATGTATTATAAAGTTATGACCCCATGGTTCTCTGATGCGTTTGTAGGAAGAACTGAACTATGTATTACCTCTATCAGTGTCATAGCTAGAATGATGTTTATTAATCGGAATCGAGACACCAGTGCAGACTTTCACGTGATATTGACAAAATTGTTCGTCGCATGGTCCTCAAAAAAAAAACCTACGTTCAGGATTAAAAACAATAAATTGAGCTTTGGAAAATTAGCAAGGCTTTTGAATCTAGACAACCACCAGGACTTTGAAGTATGTTCGTGATATTTTTGAGGATAATTAATTAGATTTTTAAATAGAGTTTTATAGTACCTGTAAATATTGAGTTACCTTAGCAGTCTGAAATACGTTAGAATTCTAAATAGCCCTAGATTTCAGAATTTTAAGGTAATTCTTAAAATATTTTACAGTAAAGTGTAAGTATGCAGTCTGTGCAACCTTTGATTGAAGTGAAGACGGTATAAATTGTCTTTTGTAAACTCTGATGACAATTGCATGGAGATTTTGTGAACAAAGGAAATATGAATCGTGAGAATAATTTCAATGGAACTCTGTCCAGTGGTTCTATGGAGATTAATTTTTTATCAAATTTTAGGAAATCTTGCAATTTATGGGATGAAAGTCTGAAAGGATGAAAGGCCTTTTTGGCAAAGTACTTGATTACTTAGGAAATACTGAAGAGGATTTCAAAAGTCTGAGAAGAATGTGACGGTCATTCTGAAGAGCGTACCAAGGAAATTATTAAGAATATTCGAAGGAAATTACAAAGAGAAAAATTGAGACAAAATTATGCCAGTTCTTTGAACTTATTACCAGTTTGGGGGAATTGTGGAATCAAAGAGCGATTTATAAGAGATTACAAGAGATAATGCTAAGCACTCTTAGAATGTTACTGAAAAAGTTTGGATATTATCAAGATTGGTTTAGGGGAATCCAGAATAGAAGTATGATGAAATTCTAGGATGATTCAAATTAAACTCTGTAAATGAAGTAATTTCAGACTAACAACAAATTTCATGATCTGGGACCCGGAATATATAAATTCCAGAATTTAGAATCATTTCAAGATCCTGAGGCTTCAAAAATGACGCTTTCAGACTTTCATTTTAGTCATGTGGAGTTACCCGTAGTTTAGGTAAACTGTGAGTGAGTACCACGATGTTAGGCTTTGATTCTCACTTCAGCCAGGAGAATTTTAGTTTAAAATAAAATTTCTTACTGGTCTACAGAGTGTTGTGAGTTTTATGATGGCAAGACTGAAATTGGAAGTCTGATCAATCGCAGAGTAATATTACAATTATTTAAAACTAATAAAAATGTTAAGACATATTCTGGTACTGCATAAAATATTAAGGGCTAAATCGACTATTAGTTTTAAAAAATCATCCCATCAAAGTTGCTTGACACTTTGCTGCTTCAGAATCCTAAAAATATTTTCTGCAGTATTTTACCAACAATTAAAATCAATTTTGAAATGCTGCGTCATGGATATTAAAACTTTTTGGAAACACTGTGTCAATGCTTTTCTTAACTTTTGGATGATTTTAGCAATGCTAACAATATTTTTTAACATGGATTTCATAAACATTCTGGTAGGCTTTGAATAAATTCCAGATGATCATACTGACCGATTTTTACGGAAGATTGACACATCACTTTGATTTCAGTGGCATTATGTTAAAAACAGGATTTTTGGAGCAATCCAGATTTATCCAGATTTTATATTTTGACTGGTCCAGATTTTTCAGAAAATGACCTGGCAACGCTGCTGACAATTGACATGGTTTGCCTTGACGATGACTGTTAGCTTAAATGAGTGACCAAAGCAAAATTTTGAATATCGCTCTGTACTGACGAGATTTTGCAGCACTGCTTGACACCATTCTTTTTATACTTTTACCGACTGTTGCATCAAAGTTAGCTCGTTCTCCAACACCTTAGATGTTTTACGAAGTCTGGCCTTCATGATGGCCTAAAACTTCTCAATCCGGCGAGTTCGGTGTGTTGACGTATTTTGGTACAAAAACAACATTGTTGTCTCTGTACCAGTCTAACACCGGCGACGCGTAGTGGCAGGGTGCTAAATCCGGCCAAAACAGCGTCTCGCCTCCGTGAGAGCGCAGGAAGGGTGCTTATCGAGGCACTTGTCCCGGTAGATATGGTACCCGTCGTGATGTACAGCTGCATCATCTTGCCGCACCCACAGATGGCCTACCAAACCAAGAATTTTTTGGCGATTTGGTCCACCTTCTTCTTACTTACCTCCTCAGAAATGGCCAACCGTAATGTGGCAACGTAAAACTCTTGCCGTGGCAACTACTTTGTGTCCGCCTAGATGTAAGTCTCGTCGTTCATCACGACGCACCTCGGTTTCGTCAGCCACTCCTGGTACAGCTTCCTTTCACGGACTTTGGCAACGGTTTTGTTTGCGCTCCAGTTCGGTGCCTTCCGGACCATGTAGACGTGGATGCCGGCACGTTTCAACCTTTTTTTGGACAAACCAGATGGAAACATCTAACATTCGACCGAAGCTCGAACAGACTCAACGCCTTCCTGGCCTGGGTCTTCTTGAATGACTTCACCACCCGGGAAATCGTCGAATGATGGATTCCCAGGTGTTTCCAGATCCATCTGTGCGACGCAGCCGGATTTTCTACGACGGCACACAAGATTTTTTGGTGGATCTGCTCCGATGCCATCTCGATAACAACTTGACAGATTGTGATGAAATTCTACCAGCGTAAACATTACACTCTTAGCTAGTTTTAGTCAAAATTTCATCATCCTCACGCTAAAAATTTACAAACTTATCAATGTGCCTCACTTTTTTCGAGTTCAGTCTTTACTGGTGAGTCTGTCGCTCATAATAATTATTATCAATATGATGTTAACAGTTTTTCACAGCTGATCAGAGTTGCGACCTATCACAATCATGAACGTCAAACAGCTGATGGTAGTAACGCTTGGTACATTCCTATCAATGTGCTTGTCGAAGCACTCTCCATGACCATTAGACTGATGCAAATTTTGACATTTTCGCTCCA